TGAAAAAATAAGAGCTTGCTCTGATATCCTTTCCGATGCGTTGAGTGGAAGGCCTCATCAGTCACTGCAGCCGAGTGTCACGGCGCTATCATCCCGAGCGATCTTTATGTTCCGGTGAATTCGGCTGTCGTTCATTCACAAAACACTTAACTGAACTGTTTGTTTTCTACTTGTCGTGTGAAAAACTTGCGTGTTTTTATGAGCCACAATTCGGCCGAGTTTCACTAAAAATTTCACTTTCAGATTCTGTATTAGAGACTAAAAGACTTCAGGCAGAAGTGTTAATTCGACCTGCCGAACTATTCAAGTTTTTAAACTACTGTAGAATGTGAACTTTGATGGTTTTTTAACTTTGACGGTTTGACATTTCTGACAGCTTTAGTCTTGTACAGCCGATCAGAATGTTTGAACCATTCTAACAGGGATTCTGATTGGCCTATTGTAGCATGCTTAAAGAGAGTATAGAGCATGCTGAAGACACTGTTGTTCGCTTTGGAAACAAAGTTTGTTTTGAAAATTGAAAGTAGTGCTTGGGAGTTTGCTTGAGGAATTTAACGGATTCTTTATTATAAACAAATAGAGAAGCCTTGACTGTGCTCTTTTCTGTTTTAAAGCACTTAGGAAGCGGCTAGAGAACTCAAGAGGTGGGGAGAAACACTCGACTACGTCTCGTGTTTCTCCTTACATTTCTTTCGTTTTCTAGCCGCTTCATGCGTGCTTTACAACAGAATAGAGCACAGTCAAGGCTTCTCTATTTATTAAATATATCATCTTTTATTAGTCTTAGTTAGGACAACAATTGGTGGACTGTTTTTCATTCCTCAGTTCAAGCTGTGCTCAAGTCAGCTAAATGTCGATAAACTAATGTAGTAATTATAACGCGCTTGCACCTGGGCTTTTCCTTTATATGCCCTTAGATCAATCAGTTTTTAACTAAAAATTTATGAGAGAACCAACTCCCTTCTATGAATATCTTAGAATTATGCTTGATATATTCATAACTTACCACCAATTCCCTGCCTCCCTCCGGCACCCATGTTAAGCTTCTCTTCAAGAGAGTTCAATAAATTTTCACTTCCGTCCCCGAGCTGTTGGCTTTGTGAGAGTTCCCCTGATAGTGAGTTAAAATTATCTAAACCAGTTGAGGCTGTGTTTCCTGTATTTCCCAACATGTCCAAACCGTTATTTTGGTAGGAGCTGAGCGAGTTCATTGAGCTCAAGTCTGATACCCCTCCTGTTTCCCCTAAGTTTGACAGAAGGGAGTTGACTCCACCGGCTTGTGGTGAAGACAAAGAGTTTAGGGTAGTGGATGACAGATCACTTAATGCTGTTTGACTTTGCCCATTGCTTGTTGTAGCGCCACCGTAGTTTGAGCCAAAGTTGTGTCTAGGGTCCAAGACTGCATTTGAACCCAAAACGTTTGCGCCACCCGTCCCGTAACCAGTAGCCAGCAATGTGCCGAGGCCGGCACCATAGTCGTTGGAATAACTTGCACTTAGACCCGTTCCATACGCAGCTGTCCCGAGTCTCGTATTAAGACCGGTGTCATAACTGTCCGTTGTTGTGCCTGTTAGGCCTACTCCTAAACCGTTTCCCAAACCCAACCCTCCCCAGTTTGCTACAATAAATTGTTTCTTCTTTTTGTGTTCTCCCCGACTCCTTGTCCATCGCGGACTTGCCAAAGTTGCTTTTTTGACCGTAGATCTGTCTCTGAGAGAGTCTTGTACACCTCCCGTGCTCGGTAGACTTTTCGTCGTCAACGAAGATCGTGTCAGTTTTTTTGATGAGTTTTTTTGTGCCCAATGAGAATTGTTGGGTGGTTCCCTTTCTCTTTGAATTTTTTTGTTCGTTCGGGAACCAGCTCTTCTCGAAAGACTTAGAAGATTAGCATTCCTTCTGTATGAGTTATATTGAGACCTTGAGAAATATTGATCACTCCAGTCGTTGTTCCTCGCATTAGTTCTTGGTGCATAAAAATTATATGGGTTTGTCTCCGATAGTTTTTTGTCCCTTAGAGTTTGGTGGTGTGTTCTACTTCTGAATGATCCTTTAGGAACTTGCAAAAGCGCTACAATAATTAAACATTTACTCGTAAGGTTTTTTCACAATTTTGAGGCTTAAAGATTTACAAAAATCATCTGGCCACTGAAACTGACTGCAAAAGTTGTTGGTTGTTTCCTCTTGCTTAGTGTTTTCAGGGCCATTTTGTTTATTTTTTCCTGTTCGCTTACAAAAAACAAACTAACAAACAAACAAAAATCAAACAGAAGTAAAAATAAGTATAACGAAAAAAATATTTTGGTTAATTCCCCAGAAGAAACCCTCTGTTATTACCTGATCTTGTTAAAGGCCATTCCACCAGTAAAATGGACAATAAGGCCAGTAAATTATTCATTACAGGCTTTGATTTCTTCGAGTCTTTTCACATGGCTTTTGTCCTGGAAAAATAACTAGGAATTTACCGTCTGTATAAATAATACAAACAAATGTTTTCGAGTTTACCCAGCTCATTCATATCTTAAAGTTATATGTACTGCTAGCTATAAGCCTGCCACCTTCCGGGTGCTGACAACGGCTGCAGGTTTTCTCTATATTGTGTCAACAAGTACAAGTTTAACTGGTGATCATTTTCAGGATTTGTAACTACACTGAGTAAGTCGCATTCCAGTTTAGGATTGACAAACTGTTAAAAGAACTAGCAACTTGTAAGCAATTCTGTTGATATGGAGCATGTTTTAGTAAATGAGAAGTGAACTTAGCCGTGTAAAATACCGGAAATAAAACCCTAGACAATGCCAAAGAGAAAAACAACGATGGTCATTTGTAATTCTCCGACTAAACACTGTTCTAACCTCGTGGCGTTTTGGTCCTTGACATTTTCCGCACCGGCTTCACACCAAATCACACCTTGATCATACCTGTTTCCAACTGAGCGAATGGTTCAACACTATTTTCAAACGTGTTCTGTTACTTTGCAAACCGTTTCTCTTTTGCATTCTTCAAAATATGCACAAATAAGCGTTTAAAATAAAAACAGGCCAAATCCTGAAACAAACGTGCATCTAGAAGACAATATCACTAGGTTTGAGATTCGCTCCATTTTGGCAGTTATTTACAACGGAAAATCAGGGTTATATGTATCATCAATGAAGAAGAACCAGAAGTAATTCTTCCATCAGTTGTTCGGTTGTAAAATAGTATAAGAGTTAATTTACTTAAGATTGAGGTAAAAGAGATTTGGAGATAAACCGCTTTTAAAACCGTAAAGTAACACTCTGTTGATAATTATGACATTTTTCTTGTGCTGTATATTTCGTAATTAGTAATCACTAACTAGGTCTTTTAATCGAAATCATTTGTCAAAAAAGTTACGATTGCAAATATTTCCGCGAACCATTCATACAAATTTAAAATTAACTTACCATTTGCAAGTAGTTACTAGACTAAACATTTCATTCGATATTCCTCCATTATCTTTCACGACTCGCCAGGCTGGCGATACGACAAATTATGGACCCTGACAGAGACTGCCAAATTTGGACACGAAAAATTATCTGATCCTTGATTTCATGAATTACCTCAGTGATAGAAGGACAGGAAAATAGCTAGGCGGTACTAAAATTGTGGATTACTTTGTTAAATGGAAAATTTTGGGGCAAGCCTTGAGCGGTTCTTCCCCCGAGAGAAAGAAGAAGTGATAAAACTTTTCAAGAGACACCGGCTTGTACCAGTTATGACCGGTGGTTTTCCCCGCATGACTTGAGCTAGAGCCGCCTCGACGGCAGAAACACGAGACATTGCCTTGCTAATAATTAGGAAAAAATATTTCCATTTTCCTTACTTTTTTGTTTCTTTTTCCTTTATTAACATCTTTTATTCTGGTTACAGCTTTTTGTCTGTAAACATCCGTTCCTTAAAAAATCAAACAGGACAATGTTTTTAAACAGGTCGTTAGCATGAGTATGGCCACCAGTGACAATATTGACTTTGCTTTGACCTTCTTTTGTAGGACGCACTTAACAAAGAAAAGTATCCCGACTTACATTGGCTCTGAGAGTGATAAAGTGACCTACTTGTTTATCATACTCAGCTAAGAAGACAGTCACTTCGGGTTAGTCTTTGGCAAACTTTGCATGTCCGCCTTAATGTTCTTTTCGCCGAAACTTGTCTTGCACGTTTCAAAAGGTCGATGGAACATTAAATAGTCGTCTCGCTCTGAGATATTGTAGTTTTTCAGGGTAACCCCTTTCGTTCAATGTCTAATTCTGCTTACAAATATACTTTGCTACTGTTTGTGTTAAAAGAAATTCTGAGAATTTTAGTACATTTAAATGTAGGTTTGTTGCAAAAAAAGAGTCAATCTATTAATCTATTAATCTGTAGGGTTATGAGTCAGTATGTAGTGTTCTAGACAGACTACTACGCGGAGGAATCGAGCAGGAAAAAAGACAAGTAAGCACAACTGAAGTGATTTTTGTGGACTTCAATCCATCATCAATATTCTTATTTCTTCAAAGTGTAGTCAACATCAGGCTTTTCAAGTAACACAGTTTTTTAAATTTATTTTTCCTATTATTATTTGATCTTATAATGATTATACTGATTATGACCAAGAATCAGTCATTGTACCGTTTGGCTTTCCCACTCATAGTCTGTCATTACTATGTTCCTAATACGATGTAAGTAGCCTTGATATTTTAGCAAAGCCGAACCTTCATCTATATAACTGGCATTAGAATTCATATATAGTATCCCTCCGTCACAACACGTGTTTAGCCTTTCCTGATCGCCTGATTTGGAAACAAAGGTTTCAGTCGCTACCTTTCTTCCGTTGGCCAACTATTGTACCCATTTCCCTCTCCGTCGTCCTCGTCGACATCCGGGAACTCATCACCTGCATGGCTTGCAGGGAATGGTATAGACTCATCTGCGTCCACCTCTCTTCCAATGTCTTCAATCTGTTGACTTTGTTGAGTTGTGTCTCGTTGTATTTCATCTCCTAAGTTGGCCACCTCTCTGCTTTGCTCACTGATCCGCGAGCTCAGTTCGTCACCAAAAGTTTCGGTTTGATGGGATAAATAGTCCACGCCACGTCCCCCCGGAAGCGCTAACGGAAGTGGCACATAAAAGGGATCTCCCATTTCGTACTCAGTTGGACGGGAATCAACTTTGATAAAAAAAATTAAGTTTATTGGTCTTTACGTCCGATGGCACTTAAACTGACCTCTACCACAAGAGATTTGGCTGACTAATTAATTAATAACCTGTAGCTCGTCGCGAAGCAAATTCAGTTTTACCATCGTGGATCACAGATTTCGATATTCGGGAAATCCTTCCTTCGAAAACTTTGAAAACTCAGCTCGCTCATTCTCCGCAGCTCGTATACAGTTTCACGTATGATTTTTATGGCATGTTATCACGCCTTTTAAAAATTATGGTTTTTGCTGTGATTTAACAACCAAGGACATTGCACATTGCTCATAAAAGTTTAACCTCACGTTTGGGTTGAAAATTGCCGTCTTTAAATCAACTAAATATGACTGTTAGGTTGGCATATGTTATCTTTTGTTTTCACATGTCTGAGATCCACAAATAAACGAAACTTACCTGGATTCAAGCAAAGACAAAATGACGCCAGAAACAAAAACATTGTCGTCAATCATTGCAATGCTTTACATATAAGTTATCTATAACCTGGACGTCAGGAAAGATATTAACCAGTTATCCACCTGTGACACGCCCGACTGGTTTTTTAAGGTTCCTTTTTAGAAAAAAAATCATTTTTATTGGAAAGAATATTACTCCTAATGGTATCGCTAGATGTCTACATGCACACAATATCGATTTTGCTACAAAAATTTAGTCACCGAACGCTTTCCAAACCGATGTCCAAGATTAGAAAATAACAATTTTTGTACATCACGCCTGTTAAACGCGCCCTTCATTGACAAAGATCCGCAAAGAATCCTAAACTATTTGTGTTTCTACTGACTGTGACAAAGCTTTAAACAACAATATCGTTATAAGACGCTTGAGCATTAATTACGAAGTTAAGAATTTCTTTTCCGTATCATTTTGCCTCTGTTACACAGGTTAGCGCTTTGTTTTACAGTCTATACTCGAGCATTTGATGATTAATAACATTTGACCATACACAAAAGAAACGAGAATGACTGGTTCTTTTGCAGTCTCCAATTCTACAGTACCGCTAATGCGAATACTTTGTCCGCCTTTGTGCGGCCGGTGAATATTTCCTGTTCAAGAAAGATTTTTCATCAGCAAGGCCCTATTACAACGCTTACATGGTTTTTCTTTGCGTGATTTAAGAGATTTCATGCTAGCTGCGGTCTTTGCTTGCTGTGAGTTCAATTTATGACTTAGTCTTTGCCCTGCAACATCTGTTTTTACTCTATTAGATCTGCTAGTAACGAGTTGCTTTTGCTTGACTACTTTGTCGAATTTCCCCGCGTATTTTCTTCTCGCATCATTTTCTTTCACTTGATGACTTCGGATTAATACCAAGTGCCCTGTGTCGCTGTCAAAATCATTGTTGTGGTACATGGTAGTCCGCTGGGTGGCCTTCTCATCTAGCAGCGGCTTAGAAAGCAAACTTGCGTCATCAAAATCTCTCTGTCCTGTCCTAAGCACTGAAGCAGCTTCACCTATTCCTTCTATAATGTTGGTTGATTCCCCTTCGTCCTTAAATTTCCCTTTATTTTTCTGAAGCAGCTCCTCGGCAAGCGCCGTACCAAGGCCTTCTGAGGGTCCTGCAGGCGTGTCTAAGGGTGGACTCGCAACACCACTCTGGGTGAGAAACTTCTGATTGCCATTAAAGAAAACCTTTTCCTCCTCCTCCTGAGGTATAACACCATTTTCCTTTAAAGATTCTAGTTTATTTAAGAGACCGAGTTTTTGGCCACCCAGAAAGTTAGAGTGGTGTCTTATGCTTCCCATGGCACCTCCGTCAAGTAATTCGTGTGATCTGCCAATAAAACGACTCTCTGAGTTAAGAAGATCATCTTGGGTATTTCTAGGTTCAGGAACAGCAACAGCTTTGCCATCTAAACTTTCGTAACCATTGGCGTTCTTTGCCTCTGTTTTTGGATTCCACCAGCTTTTGTCGGTAAATGGAGTATTCTCGTAATCATTTTGACGTTGATCTCCTCCGGCCATGTCACCATAAGATCCATACGAATTCGTGCCCCATTCGTTGGTCATATGGTGCTGCCTTGTCGCACCTTCGTTCACTAAATCAGAAATTCCCTCATTATAGCCATCTCTTTCGCTGGTTTTTTGCCCCTTATAAGCCTTTACTCCCGGGAACAGGACAGGATCCTCGGGATAAATGGTGGATGGATAAGACGAGGAAGACATCGGCTTATAATACTTGTGCCACTGGGTACTGCTTTGGATAAACGAAACCTGGGCTGGTGACATGGTGTCCACTCTGAGGCCACCTATCTCTTTGGAAGGAGGCTTGTTGAAGAATTTATTGGCTTCATATCTCTCTGGACTGACCAAGTTCTGTAAGCTGTACTCTGCTCGATCAATTCTGTTGGTATCCTCACCAAGGAGTTCCTCCTTCTTAGCGACATGGACTCTCTTAGGCAAACTGTGTCCTTCTGTTTTGCTGCCGTCTGATAGGTACAAAAACATTTGTGCAATCTAAGATACAAACCACCAAACTTTTCTTTATTTTGAACCGATTCGATTACTAGGGAGGTACCCAGAATGTTATGATACGCATGCTTTAGTCATACTTAATGTTCTCAGTCATTTCGGTTGCTGAATAATTCGTAAAAATGAGCTTTTAAGTTTAGTCATGATTGGCTCATTCCTGAGAAATTTTTTTGTTTAACGTGGAACTCGAATAATCTTTCCTCATATAAATAATTGTCGTGTCACATAGAAACGTCGCCGGCTGAAATCGAAAATCACAGATTGTGTCATTTCCATCGGTAACAATGAAGCTGCCATAATTTGTTTCCAAAGTTTCTTACACAATACTACATCCACCTTATAGACAGAGGCAGACCAGAAAATATTTATTATGAGACCATTACGCCCCTTAAATTACAAACACGCCCACACTTCGTACATTTCTTAATTCTGATCAATTTGTTTTCGTTTTGTATCACCTTGTATTGGGAGCGACACTATGGACGTGTTGACCCCTTCAATACTTTTTGCATATTTACTTTTCACAAAGGGGACTGATGACATGGAAAAAAGGAAAAAAACATGTACAAATTCAATGTTTATCATATGGAAAACCGAAAGAGCCAGTACATCTTGAGGGTTTAAGGAAGAACGTGATTATTGAAATGTTGTTAGACGTACTTAACACTGTCAAACAGCAATATATTTCACAGTTTAGCCTACTTACCATGTCTGGAATAAATTGGGACAGTTAATCGTTGAAGTAGTAACACCAATAACAGGTAATGCATCGTATAGGAAAATATCGTTAACCGAGGGGTTGCATTTATTAAGTTCAGCAACCCGGTATTTTCAACGGGTGTCTTGAACATTTTTACCGTGAAACATTAATATTAAAACCTTTATGACGTCACATGATATATTTTGTTTCGACTGAGCAGGTTTGTTGTGGTTATTGATAGCTTTTTGTGTTTATGGCTTTACTTTTAAACCCTTTATTAGCTCTCTGAAGAATCATTGCCACTCATTAAAAAAAATGGTCGGGTATTTTTTTTACTAATGACATCAGTGCGTAAATTCGGGGAGGCTCTGTGGAAAGGAAACAGGTGCCTCGTTTCGCTTCTTAACTCGTTTGGCTACAGGAATTATTTGCTTCCATGTAAAACAATTCCCCTCTTAGAAAACATTTTGACCAGTAATTTTTAATGGTATATGCCATGATGGGTTAAAATAAATATCTCTGCTAATCTTAACATTATTCTTACCATTAAGTACATAAAAACTATGGTATTTGTTGGATCCGCTTGTTCTATAAAACTATTTTGCATGTTTTTCCTTCTGCGAAACGCTAATTTTAAACGTTAATTCAAGCTTTATTTACAACAGGGACCAACAAGAGCTACCATGTCGTTGCCGCTTTTACGGTCATTTTCTATGGAACATGGTCACGTGATCATTTCGAATTACATCATTTACATCTATTGAGTGTTGGCGTTCTCCGTCCCATAGGACTCTTTTCCGTAGAAGAACTAAATGTTCGAAATGCTTTGAACTAACAATGGCAAGTAATAACCATGAGCAGTAATGGTGTCCAGAACCCGATGGACTGGCGGATTGTTTATTCTTTTGGCAGCCCTAACAGGTCTGTGTTGTGAATCTTGAATGTCATCGTCACGGAAAATTATTTAAGAGTTGCTTGTGCCTGTCGTTTCAGACACAACACGCAGGCGGGCTCCGATTACTCAATTTACAAATTTATTTTTTTGATAGGAGAAATTTTATTCTGCCATCTCGCTCAAATTAAGGGGAAAATAAGTATTGAAATTAAAAAACATTATCATATGCAAATCGTTGCCTTAACCAGGTTGAATGCCAAAGGAAATTATTTCTATTAATAACTTCCATTGCATGATGGCATTTTGTTCATTTACCTCAAACTTAACAGCAACTTGACAATATTTACCTGATATGCTTGGAAGGAAATTACTCGCTTGCTTTCGGAACCAATTGACTCCTCATTTGTTCCTCAAGTCATAGCACTTAATACAAACAAAACTCTGAAGTGGGCGTGACGAGCGCTAAATTGTTGACATTTAGGGCCAGCGATCTCGCTTAACCACCAACATCAAGAAATAATTACAGCTATGGACAGAATTGGATGAAAAACTCGGTATTTGTTGAAAGAGTGCAGTGGTTGTTAATTATTACAATTGAGCAAATCCGCGAGGCTTCAACGGGGGGATTAGAATGAACCACGCTGGCCATCGAGGTGTCTGGCCATTTTTGTGAGCTTGATGTTTACTGAATTGGCTTGCAATGTTGTACTATGTGGCTAATTTTTATTTGGTCTGCTCACTCTAGCAACTGCCTTACAGGATGCACCACCACGTGTAAGAACAGTCCATAGCCACAAAAACATTGCAGACAAAAAATCCCGCAAACGGCAGGAAATTATATTTCTCCGAGATGACCTAACACACAAGAGGAACCGGGAAGAAGATATTATGGCAAACATAGAAAAACATGGAAAAAGTTTGACCGCCGAGGGCAATGTCTTCAAAGGAAGTCCAACTACATATAATTATGACGATTCCTCAGTTTATCAAGGACCTGTACTGAAGGGGCAATCTGTTAAGAAATACAATGGACCACCTGAAATCCAAGAGAACCAGAAGAAAAGCGATGCTTACGAGGTTGTGTCCGAAAATGGTGATAGTAAAAACACTAACTCAGTCAGCGACGAAGGAGATCAGGAAGAAAAAGTGGTGAAAGTGGGACATCCCAATGTCAGAGCACATGGTAATGACAGACATTTATCCAATTTCAGAGGACATCACAGATCCGGACTTCACATTGTTTCTCTAGATGATAACGATGAAACTAATGATAAAGATTATGACGAAAAGATATTGCGAGATAAAGATTTGAGACTTTACGGTTCTATAGGATCGCCTTCTGTAGAGCATGAATCGCGCAGAATGCATCATTCGATTTATCATGATGATTTTCTTCCTCCAAGTGTTGTGTCGTTCTCCCAAGATGATTTCTCTGGCCCCCTGTTTAGAGGTGCTGGTCACTCCATCGACGAATTTTTCCCAAATTTTAAAAGACGAGATTCTTTATTGTTTTCTCGACCTTCTCAATTATGGAAATCGGAGGAGATAATGCAGCAACAGTTTCTACCCGTGAACCCGAAATCGGTATCATTTGGTGAACGACCGAATATGGTTTTGCTGCCAATCTATAGTGGTTACACAGGTACAAGTCCCACGGTTGTTCCCTTCACCACTCAGGGAACATTTCCCTCTTCTATGTCTCAGCTAGGATCTGCTCCCATCGAATATTCGCCTTCAACGCCAACGGCAAATTTTCGTAACGTTTTGGAGCCGGCCTTTCAGGTTCCTCAAGTCCAAACGCCGTCTGTCAACCCGTCGTATATTCTACCATCGGAGCCGGAAGAACAGATTTTGTTTAACAATCAGCAGCCCGATGTACGATCGCTTTACTCTCTTCAGGCTCAGCCACAAATGCAAATTCCCCAGACCAGCTTTCCACATTTGGACCAACCTCAACAACCAATGATTCCAAGTGAAATGCAAGTGCCTTCTGCTATTGTTTCCCCAGTAGGTCAACGAGAGATCGGCCCAGCCCATCGGTGGGTAGACGAAGACGGACGCCAACGCAGTGAGGTCTTGGATCGTGACACGGAAGGACAGGACGAGAACAGGTCCCATGATGACAGAACCGAGGGTGATGAGGATGAGGAAGATGATGACAGACACCAATATAGCAGATACTACGACAAAGGTTACGACCCCAGTCCAAACGAAGGTGATGATGACGGGGCTCAAGAGAACCTTTCAGAGAAAGATTCCGAAGACGCAGATGAAGGTGACGAGGAGACGTCTAACTACACCACTGACAAAATTTATGGGTCAAAAGATACAGAGGACGAACGTGGTCCAGATCCTGAACCTACTGAAGAAAACAACGACGACGACGACGACGACGACGACGACGAAGACGAAGACCCAGAACCTCCCCGAGGCTTATCGCCACAAGCAAGAATGGGACCATCCAATTATAATCCAATGGCTCGTTTTATGGCGTCAAGTCGCCCTTTTCCCAAATTTCCTCTCCCTCTTAATACGGAAACGTCAAATCCTATGGCTGCTCAAGCATTTTCAAGGTATCAGTTGATGTCTCCTTCCTCTGCCCTCAAGGAGAATATCTTACCTAAACCTGTGGAGAACCAAAAACCCTCTCCAAACATTCTCAAAGCTAAGTCAGACTTAAAAATATCTCAGATGAGCCCTGCTGAAGCTCAGTTTTATGAAAACAAGGTAGCAATGGAACCAAACTTTACACCAGCTATAGCTTCAAAAGACACCATTCCTGGAAAATCTCGTCACTTTCGAGTTGGGCTTGGTAAAGTGCTTATCCGACTGAACGGTGAACCATTGGAGGACTCCTCTCAATTGCGAAGTAAAATAGAAAACGGAGAGATCATACAAGGAAAAGGAAAACTCATCAAATCAAAAGGTCCAGTGCAAGTTAAACTTTCTCACACAAAGGATTCAAAGCACTTGAAGATAATAGACATCATAGCTCCAAAACAGTTTCAGGTGTACGATACCAAAAGTAAGATCAGAAGACCTGCTAATTCCAGATAATCTAACGGTGATCCAATTTCTTTGCCAAGGAAAATCCGATAAACGTCTCGAGATGTAATGAAAAATCTTCTTTATCGCCAAATAATATACAATGTATGTAGTATGAAATATGTACACATCGCAGCCCAGTAACAAAACCCAAAGCTGAATCTACTATTCACTATCCGTAAAGCAATGCGAGCCAGCGCAACCTTTGTGCAACCGATTTGAAACAGAATATCAACAATTGAACGTGAATGTGAAAAAATGTAGTTTTTGACCAAGTCGTATTATTGCTTCACTTGTCAATGTTCATCCCTCTTCTGCAGTATGCTCTGTTTGGTTCAAGGTGCAATCTCTCACAATTAAAGTTTTTCCCCCTTTTCTTAATTACGTTAATTGTAAACGTTAAGTGTGGTGTAGGAGTATACCGTGCTCGATATTTTAATTTCACATCATGTTATGTTGTTATGCTTTAAGCAATTCGTGTTACGTTTGAAAGGGGTAGATTACCAGCGTAAAAGCAGTTGTATGTATGGTTAACTCTACGAATTTTTGTCATGAGAAACCAAGTTTTAGTAGTTTCACAATAGCATACCTTTGCAAACAATTAGCAAGCGTTTTAATCCATCGATTATTTTTCAAAAGTTTCGCTTATGCGCGTGATTGGTTTCAAAGTATCACATGACTAACAATACCCCAGCTAAAACTGGGGTTTATGATCCAACTGCTTAAAGTAGAGTTGGATAACAAAGAGTACCAATAACGCGTGAATAGGGTACAAACATCTTGCGATATTGTACTTGTACTGTACATTAGTATTTTAATAAAACCTGTTTAACCGGTCGGTTGCGCGCTCACGCTTCTCTTCCTTCTTTGCTTCTCCTGCCTTATGAGAAATGAGCAGATGTGAAGCAGTTGGATAAAGAACTTTTTAGACATTTGGCGTGTAGAATTGCTTGGTATTTTCACTCTTTGTTTGTATTTTGTTTGTATAATATTTGTATTATTATCATACATCATAATATGATGTATGAGCATATCATACTTTATATCACCGATTCCTCGAGCGTATTGGAGGGCATTTGATATTTTTTGGGCCCCTATTTCAAAAGGATACTCTGTTCTTGCTTGTGACCAGTAATATGATAATTTGAAGCAGGAGGTAACATTCTTCATCAATGCAAACCTAAGGTACATCAGATTGCTTAACTACTCTG